ATTATTATTATTATTATTATTATAAAAATGTTGAACAATACGTACCCAGTCCAAAAGAATTTAATCTATCTGCATCCTAACCTGGTACCGAGGTTCGGTTTGAGTTTTGTATTTACAATCCAAACCATTCTAACTTACACCATACTATACCGTTCACCATAATATGTATGTAACATATATCAGATGGTAACAATTTATACAACAGGATTGGAGGGGGAAAAGCTAGACAGGAAAAGTGAGGTTCAGTATACTGCAAATTTCAACAGCAGAGACAAGGTACTATTCGCACATTGTGTGGAATGCAAGTGAAAGTTGACCGACCAAGCTGGCAATGCCTAGCACCTGCCTCACTTCTTTCAGCCCATAGCTGCAGTATTCCAGCTACCAAAACGTTCATCTCATAGCGACAGGTGCTCATAAACATATAAAGGCACATCACATCCTTCCAAGTTCAATGCAAACTGACAAGAAATCGTTCCTATACTGAAAACTGAAAATCTGCCACAGAACAATGAAAGTTGGTATCAACTGGAGATTGGAAACGTGATAATATGAGAGATAAGGAAAACATTGGAGATGTGAAATGACAGCCCCCGAAAAGCTAGAGCTACTTCTGCATTCAAAACCTGAATGCCAACGCACTATGCACTAAAAATGTACTTCCATATGGACACAGTTAACAGACGCCTTAACCTTATGTTTTTCTGTCACAGATTAGTGGGAATATAATCTTACCTGTCCGAGGTTCCTGAATCCGTACTTTCTTGCAACGCCATCTGCCGCATCCTGGCCACTTGGTATATACACAGCAAATTGATTCATGTACACCGGCGGCTGTCGACAAAGTCCGAATGACAGAAACGCCACCAACAAACACAGGCACGAAATACACCACCACTCCCACTGGAGTCTCATCTTGAACGATCTTCAGCAGTCTTCAGGCAATGCACCGTTGCCACACCCCCACGTACTTAATCTGTAATATCACATCAAATTAACATTTTGTACAGAATCTCTCAAAAAACAATTCTGAATACCCGGTACATGTCAACATTAAACCATTAGTGAAAGAGGGGGCGTTTCCCTTTTCCACAAACAAAAATATTATACGCTATCGTACGTACATAAATTTATTTCATGCCCAGCTAACCAACAGAGCAGAGGCTCATTAACTTTTTGTCCCTATTAGTACAACTTTCGCTTCCTTTACCAATATGAAATTGTCATGTAACAACCGATATTCAGACACTGAACAGAATACAGCTAGTTACCTTTTGTTATATTACTACATTGTTGTTTTATTGAAATTATGGACATACCGCCATGTTTATAATACATTCAAAATTATATACTTATTAAATAAGCAAACCTGTTCTGACAGAAGTTCTGCAACAAGTTTTGAGTGTTCTACTTTCGACTACAAGGAACACAGTGTTGACAAATTCATAACTACATGCGCAGACTTCTGTTACAGCAGCTAATTAAAACATTGCAACGTTATCTTTTTGTTCTTAACAACATGTTTGTATAATGTTTGCAAACATTCGTAACACACGCACACGAATATAACGTAAACTATTTCTGCCCGCCCTTTTCGCAACCAACACTACCCAAGTGTTGCACCTCACTATCCACCAAGGTGACGAACAAATGCCTGTGGCAGTGTTACTCAGGGTTGCCAATAGCACACATACTCCGCTAAATCCACATATATCGCTAATCTGAAATCACTATTGAGCACTGCGGCGCAGACTCAGTTTCAGGTTCTAAATGACGTGCTGGTCTAAAACATTCTATAACTGAAACAACTGGGACACAATGCATCTCCGAAAAAGTTGCAGAGTATGTCAAGCAATGAATATTTTTTGTAGTGATGGAAACTGGAACATTAACAATAAGGGGACCGTATGGGGAGTGTAAAAACGATATAACCTGCCATTTCACCAGCTTGTCTCACTTCGACCGTAAAGACGGTGGTCGAAAGTTCCACCGAAATGTTGGTACCTTTCCACCAGTTTACACGTCGTCACGTTCCAGAAGGTCGTGAAAACCTCAAAGCTCGCATATGGTGCACATTATTTTCAAGAACACGAAAATAAAATGTACTTATTTCATGACATCCGCGCCATATGTTGCTCACTGCCACTAAAATTTTAGGAAATTTGGGGAGATTTGGATTCATGTGAATGAATAGAATAGAAAAGTTGAACCTGGAAAATTTTTGTCCAGAAACCTCAAAGGAAGAGACCACTTAAGAGACATAAGGGAGGGACAATATAACAATTAGTCTAGAAAATCTGGAAGTGAAGGAATGGACCACATTCAACTGTGACTACAAAAATTTGGCGTACTTTTTTCTGGAATATGACACTATGTAGTTTGACAGACATGTACCGATGTTTCGGAGGAACCAGTTGCCTCGATCTTCTGTGCATGAATTCTGACGATGAAGGCGACAAGTTTCCTCTGAAACGCTGTACCCTATATTCCAAATTACAAAATGACACTTGACAGAAGATACAGTCAATTGGCCTTTGCCAGTATGATAATGAAGATGGCTAATTAATGCCGAAAATGACCCGGCCACGTCTACAAAGAAAAAATAGGAACTACAGATTCTACTGAGATATTTTATTTTCTAAAATCTTGTAAAGTTAGATAATATTTTTAGTCATTATGTGAAATAAGAATAAGGAGAAAAAATTGTCATAACCAAAATTTGTTGTCACTGATATGGACATACACATCTTGATTGCCCCGGGGCCCCCACAACTGTAAATCTGGCCTTGCCGAAACATGTTGGGCTGTATGACTATTTAATCGTTAAAACATTATACTACTGATGGCATACAACAACGTAAATAGTGTATCAGCAAAAATGATTTCTATTAAATTATAATACGAAATCCTCGCATTTCATTAAAACGAGAAATTCCTTGACTATCGAATTTACAAGGATCGCCCTCTGTTATGGAGTTATCTACATGTAAATAAAATAATGTCTAGTTGCTATGGTAAAACATTCTCCGTGGAAACAAATTTTTGAATGATACAAAATAGGGTAAGAGACGCTTAAGAGGAAAATGAGAGGCAGAAAAGTTTGGACTGCGTGGGTATACGAGGCCAGACAAGAAGGAAATACAGACATGGCGGTAAGTCAGAAGCCTGAGGTCAATAACATGGATGAAAAAAAAAAGGACTAGACGCAGAAAAATCAAATTAAGCACGAACACAATGTGTGCGGAAGAAAGAAGCCCGAAAAGAGCATAGAATATTATAAGACTATAGGCCAAGTAGTAATAGAAAGAACAACGAAAACTGGGAGGTAGAATTTGAAGCCAGTACATCCAACTAATTTTCTAATCTGTGAAGAAAATAAAATCATGCCCAAGACCATAACCTGAGATTGATGATTTGCATCAACAGCAGCCTAACATTTTCAAACCCTTCGAACTCAATGTCGATGCAAATAAAATGGGCGTCACACTTAGTAAAGAAATTTCCCCTATTCAGAACCATCGATCGATTTTGCAACAGATCAAATTTCTTACATTATTAGTTCGATGGATTCTCTTTCCTCTGTACGGAATAGCAGACCAGTACTACTTTTAGTACTACATTCTTAGATTATTGCGTAATCCTTTCTTCGTAGCCGAAAACAATGTCATTCGTTGTCTAAAAATGAATAGTCTTAATGAGATTTTTATTGGTTATTTCAAGACAATCTCAATATTGAGATTATACTGTCGGCTCTTAAAAAAGTGATACTCCCAAGAGAGAAGTAGATGTCAGTATTATCGATGGTAAATATTATCGGCGTTCTGTAATATAAATCAGTACTATTTCTAGTAGTAATAGAAATAAACACTAAAAAGGAAGTAAGTATAGCTATCCCTGTAGCCGGCTGTGAAGGCCCGTAGGGTTGTCAGACGTTGAGGGTCCCAAAATTTCGAGACAATCGGGTCATAGACGGCGGCAAGGCTGTCAGCCCTACGCGCCGGCCCCCCTTTCCCCCCCCCCCCCGGAAGATTCCTGGTACTCACTTTTCTTCAGTCTTTCGATGCAGTTATCGCTATAAAAAAGAAGTAAAGCTATACTTGTACCAGGCCGTGAAGGCCCATGGGGTTGTGAGACGTTGAGGGTCCCACACTATCTAGACAATCGGCTCAAAGATGGCGGTAAGGTTGTCAGTCTTACGCGCCGGCCGCGCTTTACTCCCCAGGAAAATTATTTAATTAATTCCTGGCACTCATTTCTTTTAGAGGCTGAGTCGACCCCAGGGCCACAGTGCAGCTGGAAGGATTAGGTCAATTGAAAAAAATATCCAATGACCTCATCGGGAATTGGACTAAGGAAAATTATTTAATAGAATTAAACATTAGAAAAGCGCACCTAAAGAGTTTCAGGATATACAGTATTTTACAAAATAAAGTGAAAGTATTAATTTTTATCTACTTTATATCTAATGATTTTAAGAGTTAGATAAAGAGCGTGGTTTCAATTCTACAGTACCAAAAATGGATCTAGAAATGTAATTGCGCGAACGTTACGGAAAGGTTACCCAAAAATAGATCCTTAATAAACTATAGGAAATAATCGATAAGGATTCACATCATTCAACCGTTCTAATGTCCACTAACCCATCACTAAATTCCCAGAGAAACCGAGGAAACTACATATGTAGTTAATTGAACCATCCTCGTGGCCGTTATCAACACACAGTAGAATTAAATTAGTTATAGTTTAATTATAATATCAGATATAATTAATTAAAGAAAATAACCATTGAATCACTTCTTTTATGTGATTCTTACAGGATTCGCTTAGTGAAGGAGGGGGGGGTGGAGTCCAGCTGGGTCCACTCGGCACGGCGGCCACTGAATGGCCTATTGTACCTGCCCCGGGTGATTATGATGATGGAGAATTTGATGGAATGAAGATTAGCACGGGAAACCGAAGTACTCGGAGAAAACCCGCCCCAGCGGCACTTTGTCCACCACAAATCCCACTTGACCACACCCGGGATCGAACCCGGGCCCCCGAGGTGGGAAGCCAGCGACTAACCGCTTTAGCTATGGCGAGGCCTTTGTTACAGGATACTGCAAAAACGAATTGCTTTGGTTTACTAAGATTATTATATATTTCTAGTACTAATGTTGGGGACACTGTTAGCTCTGCGATTGATCTCCCATCTTCTGGTAGCTACGCGAACTTCTACGCTCCGGAAATGAATGAAGTCTCCCATCATTCAGTGCGTGTTTTCTGTTTTTGGAGTAGAAGGCAATATGGTATGTTCTCGCACATTTACGGAAATGTTAGCAATAATCATCGTCTGCATGTGAAGGAAAATAAGGGGCATAATGACTCTAAAGATAACCTGTGATATTTCTATGTGTATGTATTTGAATATTTAGTATTTTTTTGTTACAGGGTCGTGTTAGGACAAAGACCGTGAAGAAAGCGGCTAGAGTAATAATAGAAAAGTATTATACTAGATTGACACTGGATTTTCACACTAATAAAAGAATATGTGAAGAAATCGCAATCATTCCGAGTAAGCCATTGAGGAATAAAATCGCAGGGTAAGTCAGTTACAGAAGAAGTTATAGCGCTTACGAAAAAGGGTTCCAAGCTGTGATGTGTTCAAAATCACTACTAAGCACTGGTAGTTGATATGTATTGTTATATATAGTAATCTTTCATGAAAATGCAGATTACTGTTTGAAAAATATGTAATATATGAAAGGTAAGGAGTGCAGTGGCCTCGCATGAAAACAAACAACAGTATGTGAAAAAGGATCGTCATAACAGAAGTTGATTGAGGATGTAATAAGCGTGTATTAATGAAAGTTCCATTATATCTGAATTTTATATATGTTGTAAGGGACAAACATGTTACCATGGTACGTCTGATTTTTCAGCAGTTCAAGTCAGTAAGGGAGTTATATTCAGGACATAGAACATGTGGATAGCACTGGCAGTACATTTATGAGAACGAACTCTCACAATTTTTGTTTTTATCTTTTTTTTTTTCCTCTCCTGCTACTGGTTTGTTTTCCATCTGCTACTTCTGTAACTTCACATTATTGTGCTATGTCCAGTCATACACCGTTTCACTGTAAATTTTCTCTTGTGGAAAACTGGAGGATGTTCTCTTGGAATTAACATTATAAAAGTATTAATACAGACATCCTATTGTTGGTTATCAGATTTGAGAGAAAATGGTTCGTTAGAAGAAATGCAGATATACCTTAGGCTGGAGTTCTGAAATAGTTTGCAGACATCCTATGTTAAAGATTTGAAATGAGACCTTCCAATTCTCCATAATCTGGGTCATGTTGCATGATAAATACTAACTACATGTTACACATCTACATCAGAATGCCATCAATACTTGTGGAATAGGTGCTCCCTTGTTTGTGACCTACTGCATAACTTAACTTTCATGAACCATGTTAGTGCTGCACAATTTATTGCTGTGGGAACCCAGAACTAATTTCACAGCCTTAACTCACACGAAAAAAAGTAAAGCTATCCCCATAACAGGCTGTGGAGGCCTGTAGAGTTGTGTGACATTTAGGCTGGCACATTTTCTAGACATAAGGCTCACAGATAATGGTGAGGTTGTCACCCTTGCACACTGACAGCCCTTTACTCGCCATAGCTCAAGCAGTTAGTCGCTGGCTTCCCACCGCTGAGGCCCAGGTCTGGTCAAGTGGGATTTGTGGTGAACAAAGTGGCACTGGGGCAGGTTTTCTCAGAGTACTTCGGTTTCCCTTGCCAATCTTTATTCCACCAGTTGCTCCACAATCACACTCACCAGTCATCTGGGGCTGGTACAATAGGCCAGAAGTGGCCGCAGTACAAGGGACTTAGTCCCACCCCAATAGCAATAAAAAGAAATAATACTCGCTCATGGAGCCGAGCCCTTCTGGAGGAGCCACCAATTCTGCAGCTACTCAAGAATATCCCAGCATTTTATGGAACCCAAAGGTTCATTACCATGTTCACAAGAGCCCTCCACTGGTGCCCTTTACTGCCAGGAAGAGAAGACTTATATATATATATATATATGAGGCTGTGTAATTTAGCAAGTGCAGATAGAAAGCTGATTTGTAGAAATTGGCTCTTTACAATTTCCTTGTAACAGAGCTCCTGCATCTTAGATGTAGATGCAGTTGAGAACGTCATTTTATAATATTCATGCTTTGGTGAGATGTAACTTATATTGCTGAGCTGCTATTGTACACACACTCCTGGGACACCTTCAAATATAATTCACTCTACTGTCCCTGCAAGTTCCCTTCACACAAAGGTGGAAGGACCGATGGGAAACTACTTTTTGTAAATCTGTAACTGAGTAACACAAGATTACGTCTTTTCCGCCTGAGTACACATTGAAAACTGTTTTTGGAAGGACACAGTCCAATGTAACCAGCTTCTGCAAACCATTACTTTCAAATATTACCTCCATTTGTGTTGCATGATTGGTTCTGTTCAAAATCTGGGGTTTACAACAATAATCAACTTTACTGATGAATTGCAGTTGTTAGGCAGTTGGAATCTTTGAATTCGTAACAAGTTCTTACTGCCCAAGCCACGAGGTAAAGCTTGTGTGGGTGACTTTATCAAATCCAGTTTCTTAACATTATCTGTTATGAGATTGGAGTACACACATAGTTTACTGTTGTGTTGAGGCACTATGCTACAAGCTGGAAGGTCACAGGATTAATTCTTGATGAGGTCATTGGATTTTTCAATTTGACTCAGCCACTGACAGAAATGAGTACTAGGAATCTTGCTTGGGGATAAAGGACGGCTGGCACGTAAGGCTGACAACCTCATCCCATCTGTGAGCTGTCTAGAAAATGTGGGAGTCTCGATGTCCCACAACCATATGGGCCTCTATGCCCTGTTACAGGGATACCTTTACCTTTTTAATGCTGAATGTCACATACTAGATTAGCACCAGAATGGATATAGATTACCATTTGTGTGTGGCTGTGCCATAGCTCAGGTTAGTCACCAGCTTCTCACCACAGCGGCCCATGTCAGGTCATGTAGGATTTGCCATGGACAAAGTGGCACTGAGGCAGGTTTACTCTGAGCACTTTGGTTTCCATTGCCAGTTCTCATTCCACCGACTGCTCCACACTCATCATCTTATCATCCAGCTCTGGTACATTAGGCCAGTTAATGGCCGCAGCACTGAGTTGACTGTCTCACCCCACCCCAAGAAACTAACTACACTATCATTTATTTCTAAGAATGGGACTGTGTTTCCATATTTTTCTTTACAATGTAAGTCTGAATCTTGATTAACATAATTGACAATCTTTATAAATGGTTCGTTATAACTTTACTGCTTGAGAACCTACTAGTTTAGCTGACTGCCCCTTGCCTGTGAAGTTAGGTCAAAGACTCGCTGTTGGTGTTTAACATAAGTTTTGAGTAGATTCTAAAGGGTTGTGACGATGGTGAATGACACAGCATTACTGGGTTTTTGGACTTTTTCATCATCCGGAATTGTAGGTAATAGAGGACACAACGTTTCAGAAAGTGGATGTTTCTGTCTTGAGGTGAGAAAGGAAGACACCTGCTCAGTTGGGCCCCTTAGAAAGAGCTAATCTCAATCAACATAGAATTCTGGACTATGGAAAAAGTCCAAAAACCCAGCAATTCTATAAGTTTTGAGGTTTTCTGTGTTGTGATTCCATGAGTCTTTTATTTGGATGCCAGTGTCTCAGAGGGACACATGATGACACAATCTGGTTATTTAAAGTCATAACTACATTTAGGGATAGCATGAAACTTTTTCTAAACTTTATGAATGTCTTTCTTTAGGCCTGCCAGTTCTCCAGGATTATATTCATATATTTGATTTGGTAAATGTAATCCTGTACCTTGAAAATTGTATTTTCTGTTACTGGGAGAAACTGTAGAATCTGTTCAGCTGCCCTGATTCATCCTGTTTAGTTCCCTTTCTTTTACCCTCATTATTAGAACTAACCATGCATGCACCATGGCCTTACCAGCTCTGTTTGATCAAAAGGTACCAAGTTTTGGAGGTGAATCATAGTAACTGAAGTTCAAATTGTAGTGTGGCATGATGTTTGTATATTCAGTTTGTGAGTTTAGTAAGTTATTTAACAGTCACTGTGGGACAAACATGCAAATGAGGCATATTGCTTGCATTATTGCACTGTTCAACAGTCCTGACATTAAGAACTGAACCAAAACTGATAACACATACTGTCTGCTATATGTAGTGTGAATTTCAAATTGACTTCTGTAAATTGAGCTATTGAGAGTGGTATGGAGACAGAAGGGAGGTGAGTGACTAAATGATTGACATTTGTACCATCCAACAGCCACACATAACCTAACATAATGACTTGTAGATTAACATATAAATTAATGTACCATGATCAAATCACATCTGTTAAGTATTTGGTTATGAGTATATCAGTTTTGTCACCATTAAGTAATCAAAAGAGGCAATGCAGAATATGTTTGTTTGTTTGTTTGTTTGTGTGTTTTTTTTTTAAGCTACAAGCCCAAACTGGGTGTCAAAACACTTCTAGTCCTGACTGTCTTAAGTCATGAAGTACGATATTTAGATACCCTGATTCCTGCAGCATCACATGACATAAACAAAGATGTTCATGCACAGGAGATCAGGGTTTATGTATCTGCATTACTTAGTTATATTTCTCCCCCCTGCTCCTGTCCACTGACCACTCACCTCACCATGCTAGTCTTCTGACATTCTTCCATGGAATTTAATCTTGTAGTTCTGTTGACAGATATTCTGTTTTAAGTTCATCTCCTTGTCAGTAAAGTGTTCATCCTTAAACTCTGTTTACCCGTTATACAGAGGTTCATCATTGTTTTAAAGTAGGAAATTGGAGCTTTATATTTCTTCAAATGTTTGTGATATTTTTAAGACATTCCAGTTTGCCTTCACTTGCCATAACTGTAACCACTTCACTTTTATGAGTGATTTAATCACCTTCAGCAGCATAAAGTGTATTAAGTCACTGTGAGTAAAGCTCAGTTTTGCAGTCTTCTGAGATAACTGAACAGATAAAGTGACAACAGGAACAAAGTAACAGAAGTCAAATTTAACATTAAACAGAAAAGCTTAGGAGAGGTCAGTTAATGTGTGTAGCACAGTATAGTAATTCCACAGTTAATGCAGCGAGATACTAAGACATACACATAGTAACAAGATATGTTTGTCACATTTCAGGTTAATTAATGTATACTATTTTACTGTGTATTGCAATTAAAATCAAGCTCTTAAAGTTAATTTTAATTAGTACTAATAGCATTTGACTGAAGGGAAGGGACATTTATTGGTAGAGAGATTGGAGGGGGGGGGTGATTTATGTACCTAGTTGAATTAGTTATTTCTGTTGTTCAGTACATGTCTCCAGTCCTGTTGATATCTTTTGCTTGTGGCCTTAAATTATTGTGACAGGTTCTTTTTCTAGAAATTATTTTGGTTGTGTGCTCTTGGTGTAAATCTGGTTTGAAACAATTATGTTTTGTTTTAAATGTTTTGCATCAGTCTGCCCAGTTTCAGTAATTTTTATTAGTGTTGTCAGATTCATTAATGTGATGCTGAAAGAGATTAATATATTATAGGTGAAAATCTGTATGAGTCACGTTGCTGTTTTCAGACTGAAAATTGCAATTAAAATTGTTACCTGTACAAAATAGTATACAGCATGGGACTTTGTGCATTCAGGATTGTATGGGAATAATGAATGAGGTTAATGGACATAGTGTTCTTGATTGATGCACTATGCTACAAGCCAGGAGGTCCTTCATGGCCTGCTTTTAATTTGCTTAGTCAAGCTGGGTCCACTCGACACGGCAGCCACTGATTGGCCTATTGTACCTGCCCCGGGTGATTATGATGGAGTATGGAATGAATGTTGGCATGGGAAACTGAAGTACACGGAGAAAACCCGCTCCAGCGCCACTTTATCTACCACAAATCCCACTTGACCAGACCCGGGATGGAACCCAGGCTGTCATGGTGGGAAACCAGTGACTAACCGCTTGAGCTGTGTCATGGCCCTTTCATAGCCTGTTACAGGGATATCTTTACTTTTTTTTTCTTCTTTTTAAATATTTGATTATTGTAAGTTGTTGTCAGCACACAATACTATATTTATTCTGCCCTTATGTAATGGAAAGTTTATGCCCATAATTTTATTAGTTAAATTTAACTTCATTCATCCTAGTCCCTCACTAGTAAGAGTATGAAAGATTATTAACACCATCCAGTGTGATTGATACAAGGTGTGTTATTTAATCTTTCATCCTTTACATGTTTTGGTCTGAGTGACCATCTTTAGAAGGACATTATCAATATATATGGAAACTACATTTCACATCAACCTCGTCTTCTCACATGCTGACTTTCTACTGACAACTCAACACTCGCACTCACCTACCAACTACTTCAATCCACTCCACTGCCAACTTAATTGTAATTGCCTCGAAGATAAACTCCTCAGCGCAGACACATCAAAAACACCACTCTTCCATTGTGTGCAGGTCCCTTTTCACGGGAATGTGTTTACTGAGCTGTTGCTTAGAAACTGGTTGCATAACCCCATTCTGTTGTGTGCATATATGTTGCATGTATTACCTAGCAATGGCCACTGTTTACAGAGCCACCACATAGCATTGGGTCTATATGGCACAATATATAATGGAGAGATACAGACACCAGTTGTTATAGTTGAGTGGGCAGCATTCATGCTTCATATTCAAGAGGCCCTGTGTTCAAATCTTGACATGGAGACTTGCTGTTCTAATGGGCGGGGGGTCCTGAGGCAGGTGTCAGGATAGGACCAAGAATTTGGCCATGGCTGCTTCCTTCTCCATCCTTTGTAATTCATTATTCATCACTCCTGTCATTTGATGCTATATAATTTTAAGTACCAGTAGTACCATTAAGCAAACAATAAATAAATATGTATATACAGGGAGTTGAATGAATGTATACGGGGTGGGCCTTCTCAGCCCTTGCACCACGACCTACAGCGATCTATTGTGCTTTATACAGGGAGTTAGTATAGTGACAGGCTACTGGCTGCACAGACAAGGAATTTGGTTTTGATTCTTGGTAGGAGCAAGAGCCTTTTCTTCTGTGTCCATACTGGCTCTTGGGGCCTACCCAGCCTCCTGTCCAGTGGGTACCAGAGCTATTTCCATGCTTGCATATGTGAGATTTCAGAATATTTTTTCTAAGTAATTCAAATTGCAGTTTCCTAAAAAATGATGTTGATATACACAGTACACCGGAGAAGTTCATGGAGGTAGGCCTAGGCCCACTGGGGCTGTAGTGCCAAGGAAAAAAAAATACACAGTACACTCCAGAACTCAGGTGGCCGTTAAATTCTGTAAATATAACGTACTATTTTTGCTTAAAATTATTTTATACCAGATATTTTTAACATTGAAGACACTGCAAGCTTGTCTCTAATGGTCAGGTCATTGTAAGTTGCCTTCATTGTCAATAAATGCATTGAATCAAGACAGTAGTGCCATCACGTTTCTATTAGATATCAAGCAGTGCGTGTCCTTGTTTTGGAACTAAAGTTTTGTTCTAAGTTTGATGTACGGATTTTGTAATGTTTCTCCATTCCTCCCACTCATTGTGACAGTGTGATTAAATTATTAACTCACTTGTACATACTGAAGTTAAGTATTTTCATGCTGTTTATAGTTTATCATATTTTGTACTACATGCAGGTCAGAGATACACTGAGCTGTGATAGGAAGTATTGTTGAAAAAAATGACTTTGTTATTTATGCTTTTTATAGTAAAACTGGTAGATTTGGATGGTAACTACTTGTACATTATTGAAAGTGTATTGCGATGCATCTTATTTTCATACAAGGAAGAGTATTCCAATTCAAATAATATACAAGGGTTGGATAAAAAGTAGTGGCAACACTGCTATAACATGGCAGATTTGCATCAGGTGGCACTAGCACCGTCTGTAGCTGATAGCAGAAGTTCAGTTGAAGTGGTGCAGTGAGTGGCTCTGATTGTTTCATTGAGTTGTGTTTTGTGTCTTGAAGTGCAGGAGCCCAGTTCAAGTGCCCTAACAACATGTTTACAAAACAAGAATAACACTCCTGGATAAAAATTGAAGTTGCACGAGGTCGTAGTGCACAAAACTGTTATCAGGGACTGCAAGAAGCATGTGATAATGTTTTGCCATATCACACAGTGGCAAGATGGGTGTAATTGTTCTGTGAAGGGTTGGATGCCATTCAGGACAAGCCCATGTTGACAACCACACAATTCAGCTTCTTGCTTCTTTTCTGGATGTCGACCGTCAATGGGCTGCGCGGGAGTTAGCTGCTGAGGTAGGTGTACGTCACAAAACTGTGTTCCACATTCTGCACGATATTGTTGGATGCCGCAAAATTGCAGCGTGTTGGGTACCCCTTACAATGTCTGAGGTGCAACAATGGCCATGTTATGCAATTGCACGGGACTTGTTGGACCGGTACCAGAGGGAAGGTGACGACTTCCTTGGAAGGATCGTCACTCTGGATGAAACTTGGGCTCACTCATATGAACCGCATTTGAAGCAACAATCAAATGAATGGAAGCATCCCGGCTCTCCTCGTCCAAAGAAAGTGCGCCCTACACAGAGTAATGTGAAGGTGATATTCATTGTGGCATATGACATTCATGGAGTGATACTGCACCACACTGTACCTCAACGACAGGCAGTAAATGCTGCCTACTACTGCAGTTTCATGCGTAATCATCTTTGTCCAGCACTCAGGAGGAAGCGACGACACTTGTTGGCAACGAACCCCATCATCCTTCAAGACAGTGCAAGGGCTCCATACTACTGACGCTATCAAGGCTCTTCGCCACTGGTGATGGGAGATACTGCAACATCCGCCATACTCACCCGATATGAGTCAGTGCAATTATGATATCTTTACCAAAATGAAAGAACCATTGCGAGGGACACGTTACAACACAAGAGAGGAGATTATTCATGCTGTAGGGTGGTCACTGCTGGACATCAACAGAAGTGGACGCACTGATGGTGTACGACACCTTCCACAAATTTGGCAGGTGGTGGTACACATGGGGGGCAATTATATTGAAGGAATGTAAGTGTGTTTACCTCAGGTAATAAAGTTAATTCAGAACTATAGAGGTGTTGCCACTACTTTTTATCTGACCTTTGAATGTGCAGTATTTTCATGTCACTGTGTAAAAAATGGAATGAAAGAAATGTAGTTTGGACATGTAAGTGTTGGAATACCAAATTCAGAATTGTGGGCCAGTTACCGAAACAGTAATGCCAGAAATCTTCAGGCAGTCTTGGCCAAGGTATAATGGCCTTTGACGCATCATGAAAGGTGCACATGTGAAACTTCAGTAGCACAAACTGTAAATGTGTTTTTTTTTTTTCCCCTTGTTATCATGGTTACAAAAAGTAACACTTTCAAACCAATCATTTTTGGTCAACGCATTGTACTGTAAATGGAAATAAGGAGCAGTATTGTATGTTAGTCAGGAAGTTGGTCCAGAAGAAGGAGAAAACTAAGTACATGTTAATGTTCCACCTGAATGAAGGACAGAATTATATCAAGGTAGCTAACAAATTCTTTGAATATGCGGCACAATTCAAATGTTTGAGAATAACAGGAACAAATCAAAATTGCATGCATGAAATTATGGGTGCTTCATACTCTGTAGGTTGCCCATCAAGAAGGATGCAATTGGTAGGGCATGTAGCGTGTTTGGGGACCTGTGAAATCTATATGCAATTGTAATCTGAAAACTTGAATGGAGTAGACCATTTGGATGAATGTGTGTATATCTAATGTTTTCACACAGTGTCTTTCTGCTAACATGTGAGGTCCTAAAATTTGTTACAAACCAGCCAACCTTAGCTATCAGTTTTCTTTTTCTCCAGAACATTGCCCACACTAGAGAATTACAATTTTCACTTTCCTGTCTAGGCACATATTTACTTTTAAACATTAATTTTCTGATGATTCATTTCACATATATTTTGTAGATTTGTTACTCACCTCATGAAGCGCCTGCGACATAGCCAGGTCCGTGGTATTTCCATCAAACTGCAAGAAGAGGAGAGGGAACGCCGTGATAACTACGTTCCAGAAGTGTCTGCCCTGGAACATGACATCATTGAGGTGGACCCTGAAACAAAGGAGATGCTGAAGATGCTGGTAATGACCTTCACAGTTAACATTTTAGTCCATTATTTGGCAGTAAATGTAATTATATTTTATACTAATTATTGTCTATTTTGTTTTCAGGAGTTCAATAACATTGTTGGACTTCAGCTTACACAACCTGCTACACAGTCTTTTGGGCGTCGTCCGTAAATGTTTCAGTTTTGTGTATTATAAATAAAGTATAAGCTGGTTCCAAAGACTGTATTATTTACTTCACATTGAGTTTACTCCCATATTTCCCAGAAAATCATCTGTGATTTCAGCATTTTCCCAATAAAAATCCAAGATACTTTACAAGTAATATTTGAAGCATTGTTACTTCTTAGGCAGATTGGTGTAATTGTGGTAGGTTCATAGATATGATGGCAGAAATGGTAAAACTGGTTACTGGGTTGGGACCAAAATGTGACAGTGCTAACCAAAACGGTTTAAGCAGGTTATGTTAGGAGAAGTTGGAGGATGTCAAAATGTCCTGGGAAAGAAGTAAAGGCATATTTGGGGTACGTAATCGTAGATGTGTTACAGCGGTCGGCAAACTTACATTAAAATCCGGACGAATACTTGTAAGTATGAGGATGAGACAAGGCCCATAACAAAACCAGAGATCGAAAGCTCATAGACCCTAAAAAGTGTTCACGTAATTGTTCTACGGAACTTTTTGTATCGATTTATTTGTAAGTTCATTCATGTACTTGTGTGAATTGTATAGATCTCATAATTTCACTTTATTCGTCATTACTTGTTATGGATCATTAGTTCGCATACACTTTGTTCAAAAAACTGCCGAGACTTACTCATGTAACAGATTTTGGCAGCGCGCAAGGATACAAACAGGTTACTGAGCCAGAGTATTGTGACCCGTAGTTGGGTCTAGATTGGATGGGGAGTGGGATGTTATAGTGATATCGTGTCCTTGTGATATATAAAGTAATTTAAATCTGGTAAGAAAGTTTGTGTATTTATAGTTGAGAATAGAAATGGAGTGTCCGCATCTTGCAGTAAGTGTAAAAATACAAAATAATCTCCGCAAAGAAAGCACCGATGTCACAAAGGAATGGCATTGCGCAGGTAAGTGTAGACCCAATGGAAAAGTGTTCTTCGTACATTCAGGGATTTTTTTCATAATACTTGCAATGCATTTTCTTACAAGTGAGTGTTTTTTTTATTTCTTCAGAGATTTGACGTAGTAATTGCAGATGAACTGATGTTCACTTGACAGGATGAGATTATTCAGTGATGAAAATATAATCAGTGAGCCAATTTGCATTGTTGTATTATCGAAATGATTTAAAAATCACAATGCCTTTATGATCCATTTTAACACCCTAATATAATATCGTCGTTAAGACCGAAAAGAAGCTCCCATAACCTAACCTAGTCCTTATTTGTGTGTCAGAGGAGGTTCTTGTCCACATGATTTTATTCAGTTTTGGCATAATATGGTGAAGGATAATGTCTATAATGTGCAAACATGGTAGAGTTTTTCTTTGCATGCTCATATGTGGCTCAACTGTCGTATATTTTCCAGTAGTATGGTATAGTTTAGTCTCTCTCTTCCCTATCAGCTGTTCTTGTGAACCCAGTGAACGTTTATTGATTTTTTGTTTCAAGTAGAAGTCCAGCATGTACGTTTCAGGGACCGATATATTGCGTGTTATTAATATTGCGAAGGTAATGGAAGATGCCCCACAATTGTATATGACCAAAGGGGATGAGAATGTCAGAATCTGAATTACTGAAAGCTTTTCAGTGCCCCTTAAAGAGCTCTGTTTCTGTTATATGACCTGAACATTGACTCTTCTGTACTAAAAGTGCAGTTGGCATGGTTGTACAAAACAAATATATAGTTGTAAATTAGCACATATTTAAAATGACACAGCACTTAAGTTATTAAAAAGTTCTTAAGAAAATAATTAGCTGACTATCCAAAGAATAAACATCATCAAGTTTAGTTACAGTAAGGAAAATACTTTGTGGTTTCTGTCATAATTCATATAAATATCTAAGATTTAATAGTATGGTAAACTGAAAATTTACATTTCTGGTCTATTTTATTAATAGGTAATATGAATGCTAGTGATTTTGCATTAATATAAATCATTGCTGCTGAGGAATAAGAAGTTAATTTTCAACTCCATCGTTAATCATTTATGATATTCATGATTTATGTTTGCATTTTCATTTCAACTATGCACATGTGAACATGGTAATGAACCTCAATTTAAATAAGAAGTGAGGGATTTCTTGTAGCTGAGTGATTTTCAGCTTCTCAAGAAGGACTCTGGTCCATGTAGTTAGTTAAGTAGAAGTTGTATTAATTTCAGGGTTCTGTGTTGTGTCATATGTTTAGTTTTTGTATTGCAAACTCACCTAATCATTTTCAAGATGTAAGATTTGAGGTTTTCATGCAGTTAAGGTCCATTCTGTAACCTTCAGTATTATGATCCTGATTAGGCTTGTAGATGTGACCAACATTTAAGAGGAACATACTGCTTCAAACTCTAGGTAAAAGTGACAGTGCTATAATCCAGAAGAACAAAATTTTATTTTGAAACTATGTTAGTAAAATCTTGATAATACTTCACTAACTTCTTTAGAAAATGTATGGGTATTCCTTTTATATTTACTGTTGTCTTTGTATCATATTCAGTCAGAAATTATACTCTGAGAGTATATATTTGTATGTGCATGTGTAGCATGTTTTAGGAAGGGGTAAAGATTACAGCATTCTTGTGTTTATTTAGAAAGAAAGCTGCCATATCAGTGAGTGACCTTTGTGGCTTGTTTGCTAAATAACCCCCTTCCCCAGAAATATGCTGAATGTGAGCTTGTATTCTTCTAGGCAGGTTATAAAAGTAGTATTACTACCATACTTGTAACTTTCAGTTTGAAAGTAGTTTACAAATGAAAATAAATATGTTAACATTTAAGTGTCAAGGAACTGTACATTTGAAGGTAAACAAGAATTTTTCCCTGCATGTATGCCTATACTCTTTTATGTCCAGAAACAGAAAAACTGTAATGTGGATCTTTGTAGTTTGAATGGTGGTTTGTAATGAATGTTTTAATTACAATGTAATGTTTTATTTGCAACACATTTCATTACATTTTTATTTCCTTTCTGTGGTTGTGAGTATAAAAGATAATGGCATGTTGATTGATGTAATGAAATAGAAAGTGTGGGTATTGTTTCTTTTGTGGCCAACTTATGGGAACATGTTTTAAGTCAGGCTTGTACTGGGCCTCTCTTTTTCTGATTTTCATGCAGTTCAGTTCTTCGCTTATCCCATTTATCAAGGATGTGGATATGGTATGAAAACTTCCAATAGATCAGGGCTGTTTAAAGAATGATGCAGGAACCTGCCACATTTAGTTGTATGTACAGTATTGCACTGCGTTAGTAGGATAAGAGGTAGCCCTCTATTTCAGGAAGGACTTGAAAGTAACTGCATTAATATTTAATTATTTGTATTGATCTGAGAACTTCAGGTTAAAGGAGACAGCCCAGCAATTGTTTATGCAAGGCAAGATTAGGAGGGTATGGATGTAATGTGTTCAACTAACTCCCATTATGAATTGAAATGAAAAAATATTATATTAATGTTTAATGTTTGGAATGATGTGGCCAAAAAAATAAATGTTAGTTTTGAAACATCCACTGTACTTGCTTCATTTGGCCCTTTCTGTGTTTTTCGTGTTACTGATACTAAAAATCTCCTTGAAGGGGTCTCATTTTGGATCACCCAAAGGCATTCAGAGGAATGTAATAACATACTGAAATGACTTTCAGAAATATATTTACAGCAGTGTTCCCAGGCATTACAGAGATGTTTGAATGTAAGTATAGAGCCTGATGGTGGGTTCTTTGAAGGTGAACTTATTGACAAGTGTAATGGCTTTTTGCTGAATGACCTCACAAAAAATTAGGGAATAACTGTGGTTGAAATAAGGATGAACACTTAATTTTAATTCAAGTTCCTAATTTCCATTAATTCAGGACACATTATTATGTGGTGCAATCCAAAAGTTCCCGAAATATATTAATAAAAACTATTACATCTTACCTAGATCTTATTCTGCACCATCACCTTCAAAATAGTCCCCTTGGGAGCGCATACACCGATCCCAGCATGTCTGCCACTTTTCAAATGCATCCTGGAAGTCTTTCTTTGTTAGGGTGTTTAGTACCGTCTGTGTTTCTGCTTGAATTTCCTCAACTGTATCAAATATTCACCCCTTCAACTTGATTTTCATCTTGAGGAAGAGAAAGAAGTCGCATGGAGCTAAGTCTGGTGAGTACGGTGGGTGGGGAGCAACTGCCATCTTGTTTTTAGCCAAAAATTCCTGCACAGTGTAAGCCGTATGCAGTCGTTCGTGCGTCACGTCTCTGGACGTTTTCTCCTCATGTTCTCCCTCAAACGCCTAAGAACATCGCAATAGAACTCTTTATTGATTGTCTGACCAGGAGGAACGAACTCCTTATGAACAATCCTGTCAATGTCAAAAAACAGATCAACATGGACTTAATGTTGCTCTTGACTTGTCACGCTTTTTTTG